TGAGTCACCAGCCAATACAATAACTCCAACCTCATTTTACTCAATTGTTCCGACACAATTAGAGCAAGTCAATTAATAGAGGCATGGTATGATTGCATCATTCCTCTTATGAAATATTGTTGCACTGTCTAAAGTAAATGATGACAAACATGCCACAATCAGCTTTACATAAAAAAATTTCAAGATAAAATATATCAATAATTTATTACTTCACAACTATCCTTCCCGTAATCCCAACTATAACTACAACAATTTAGCATACATGTTACAATTTTAACATTGGCATACTTTTCATCACAAAACAGAAAAAAAAATAGCATCCACATTATATATATCTTTCTTTTTTGTTTAACTCAATCTTTTCAACACTATCTATCTCAAAAATCATTTATTGTATATATAAAATCATCAACAAGATCTCAATTTTTTCTTAGCTATAGAAGAGAAATAATGTAAAATATCATTTACAAAGATACAAAAATTGTCTTTCACCCAAAAGAGAAGAGAAGACATAAAAGATAGAGAAGAGGAAAAATGTAAAACTTTAGATTTTTCACATAAGAGAGGGAAGAAAATGACAAAGAAGCAATGAATGTAATTACCTATCACCAAGAAGTGAAGAAGATGATGACCGAGGTGACGATCTACTCTATCAAAGACTATGATTTTTCACTCAAATTTTTCGTGCACATAGGAGCAAATTTTTCGCGCCCAAAATGAACAAAGAATGCAAGCATGAGCTGATATCTTTTACTTTTTAGTGGAAGGCAATTCTATAAAGTTAGGTATGTTTTTTATTCCAATTAAAGACCATGGTCCTTAATTGATATTTTAATATTTTATGTTCCTTAATTGGGATTAATGTGCTTGGTAGGTCCTTACTTGTCATTTCCCCAAAAAGATATAGACATATGGCTAAACAAATATAAACATCTAAGTTTGAATATTAACATGCATGGACTTTAGATTGCTAATGGAGAATAGAATGAAAAAGTAAATAATACTTTACTAGACCATTTAGCCTGTGCATGTGAAACAAAGATCCTTGACTTAACAAATACAACTAAACATACCTACGGCCCAATACAAATAAAAGTAACAGGCCCATGTATCGAGAAAAAAAAATAATAGGCCCAATCTACAACAAACTAATATCAAGAAATATAATCAATTAACTAATATTTTCTACACTCCCTCAAATTAGAATAAAAAATGTTCAGGTTGGTCCTAACTTGACTAACACTCTCTCATGACCCACTTTACCCAATGTTTTGGCAAATATATCTACAACTACTTGATGAAGATATATGCTGTAATGTGATTCCCTCTTGCAATAACAGTCAATCTCAATGTATTTTGTGTAACATCTTAATTGTTATTTAAAAAATTAACTGTGAAAATTATGGATAATTGGGGGATTTAATTTGAGGAATTATGTGGGTGAAGGTTAATTAATTATCTAAGCACTTAATTATGATTTAAATTAGGCCTATGATTATATATAAGAGTTGTTTGGGATCCAAAATAGATATTGGATTGAATTGAGCTCAACAAAGTGGGCTTAAGTGGAAATTTATGAATATGTATCAAGTTCTGCGATGCATGATGTGTCTGCTACAACACATAGCCAAAAATTAGACTTAAAAGTATATTCATGAAAACATAAAACAAACAGGGTTTTGGATGAGTATTGAGGTATTTTTGGGTTCTTTGCTAGGATTTGGAAATTCTCACCATCAAGGCATAAATTTGGGCTTCTAAATAGCTAAGGTAAATCTCATAACCTATCCTCTATCCTCTAATCTTCATTTTAAGCTAGGATTTTTTGAAAATTTGCTAAGGGTTCTATTTTTTGGGATGCTCTAACCTTAGGTTTGAATTTTTGGAGTTCTATAGTGTTAAATAAATGTTTTTTTTATGTAGTTTTGATTATGTTTATAGCTATAGGGTGGTTAAATCCAAAATCCTAGAAATGTTTTGGGTAAGATTAACCTAATGATAGTGTTAATTAACAGTTTAAGGGTTAAATAAGCAATATATAAGTGTGAATATGATTATGATGATTAATTAAGTTAGAGGATTTAGATGGATTTAATAGTATTGGGATTAATGAAATTAATTAACCTAACCCTAGATTATGGTTTGATTAGTATTTAATCACAAATATTGATTATGTTTAGTATTGTGCTATGTATAGATAAAGGGGTTGAAGGTATTGATAGTAAGAAATCACTCGTTAGGAGAACTTTGATTGCTAACAGTAAAGGTAACTTTTACTAATTTGTTATGGTGTTTGCCACAGCTTGTGATTAATTGTATATATTTTATTGAAAAATATTATTGTTTGGAAAATATTGTATTGGAAAAAGCTAGATTTATTGTTTGGAAAATTCTATTTCCAAGTAGAATGTAAAATATGTATATATGTTTAGTATGAAAAGAATATGTTCGAAAGCATGTTTGTTGTTTGGAAAATCTTGTTCTATGAATTGTCCAAGCTTGTAAGGAAGTGCAGGTGTTGTTATGCGAATATGAATTTTTATGCCATATAGTATGCCCTCAACTGGATGTAATGAGTAACTTGTTAGGACTTAGATTGGTTTATGTTTAGCTAGGTGAATAGTGCCAAGTGGGATTGCTGTCTGGGAGAAAAGAGTAGATAAGGTGGACAGTCATGCATATTTGACTTGTTCAAATAAATGTTGTTTAGAAATGTATTTTGTATACCCACTTAGAGATCGCATGATTAGTTGCTAATTTGCTCTTGCAAGCACATAAGATTGATGTTGTAATACTTTTCAGAGTATTCCAAGAGTTGAACCTAGAGGAAGACAAGGATCTTTATTATTTAAGAAAATAAATAAGAGTTTTGAAAAAATATTTAAATTAAATAATTAAATAATGCAACTAAATAAGAAAGAGAAAAATGCGATGAGATGATGAACTAACTAGTCAAACAAATGCTATGAATCAGAATTCACATACTAGAATGGATTACTCTAATTCAGTTAATTATATTCCCTTCATTTATAGTGACAATCATTTCTAAAGTGTCTTAATTACCTTCGAGTAGATTATGATGTATTTAATTAGAGTTAAATTTAGCTCCCACTAAATTCTACTCTCCAACTAAACCATGAAGCTATGATCTAAGCTACCACAAACTCTTAAATTATTTATAATTAAATTATCCATATCTATCTTTTTAGGTCTAAGTAAGTTCTTCACCTTCTGGTTCATTAAACTACCCGTGAAGAAAGTATGAACTGACCACATATATAAAAAGTGATTAAAATGAGAGAGATAAATATAAAAATAAACATAAATTCTCATAGACAAAAATCAATGTTCAACAAGAAAAATAATCAAAACCAAATAAAGAATAAAATTCATCTCAGCTAGGCTACTCCCTACCCTAACTGGGAGTCTAATAAGAACTTATAGAGTTAAAAGTACAATCCTAGATGAAAGACATTAAAAGAATCTAAGGAAGGAGAAAAGAGAGGAAGCTTTGAGCTTAAAAGACTCCTCCAAACTCCGTAGCATATGTCCTAACCTTTAGATGTGAGATTAGATGTGTTAAGAGACTTTTGGGAGGTTTATTTATAATAAATTCAACCTCCCTGGGCTTAGAATATGTCTAAATCATGCCTTATCTTATTAGATATAATGACATCTTATTTGACATGATTTAAAATATAATTTTTTTCCATTTTTCCTTCATCCATGCATGATTGGGCTTAGTTTTTACCATATCCATCCGTGACCAAAATTTCCATCCACAGATTAATGAAATACACACAATTTCGTCCATAGGTAGATAAGCTTAAGGCATGCAAAATCATCGTGTTGAGCTTCGTCCACAAGCATATGAACCTTCATAAGCTTGCTATGCACATACAAGCCATTTTTGGCTTGATTCCTTGGTCGTTGACTCCGAGCTTTGCATTTTAGGACCTTTTTCATCCTATTTTGTCTCCTTATCCTAAAAATACATAAAAATCTCTAGGTAAGGCACTTTATTTTATTTTATCTTCAATTAACAATTTAATTAATCAAAACAAGAGCAAAAAATACATATAAATCTACATGAAATTCTCACTTATCAATTATATTGCATGCATTATAGCATTTTACTGTTAGATACAAAGACTATTGTGTCTCATTCCTTATAGTTAAAAATTTATACAAAAGAAGTCTTGCCAAAGGAGCATAGGAGGCATCGTAGCAACATATGGAACACTATTTTGTCTTATTAAGCTTCATTTAGGTGTTAAATGTATAATTTGCCAACTAAAGGGGCATATTTTCTATATTGAGTATATGACTCATATTTTTTTTTTATTGAACTTGCATGTGTTAGCCATGATCATGGTCTTTGACTCTCATGGTCTTTTTTTATCATGACTAAAGTATGCTTTAAGTTAGAAGCAATTTATGAAAAGATATTTTACTTATCCAATATTATACTTTTATTGAGTAGTTGTAACACAAGTATGGTTATTTTTATTCATACAAGCATATGTCACCACTACAGAATTATGCATATTTGATGGTTATTTTCCTTTATATTTGACGGTTAAAAATCGTTAAATAAGACACCGTCATTTATGCAGCTTCATATACTTGACAGTTATTTTAACTATCAAATATGCAATATTATACTTGACGGTTCTAAATAACTATCAAGTATAAGGTACAAGAACTTGCTTTGACTGAAAAAACAAGGTTATATTTGACAGTTAGATGTGAGAACCGTCAAATATTTATGTATATATTTGATGGTTATATTAAATAACCGTCAAATATAGTAACATGACGGTTATCAAAATAACCGTCAAATATGTTGTATAATTTTTTTATATGGCAGCTGCGTTTAAGCAACCCCCCTGCAACAAAGTTGACATTATTTCATAATCCAGACAATCCAACAAATATATATTATCAACAGCAACATTCTTTTAAAATTAAAAGAACATGTACATATATATATACGCATATATACACAGTCACATTAATTATAAACAAAAAAGTTGCAAATCTTAATCCTAAATCACAATTTTATCCTAAAAAATGAAACAATAATTCTATCCTAAGCCACATTCTTTTTGCCTTCAAGCTAGACCAAATGTGCACTCACTAAATGCATGAATTTTGCATGATCCAAAGTTGAAATATATGTTAGCACCACTCTTCCACGACTTCATTGATGTGTGCATCCCCAAATTCTTCACAACAAGCGTCATCATAATACTGCAATTTAAATTATAACCATATCAAAGTTAATTAGCTAACTAATGAAATTTTGCCATATATAAAACGTATATTTAAATTAAATATGAACCTTGGTAAAGATTGAAGTCTTGGCGTGAGTGATGATGTCTTTAATGAATCTCATCACACAATATCCACAGTCCACTGAATCTGGTCTTTGATGTGGGCACTTTAAAAACAAAACAAACAAAATATATTAAATTATTAAATAATCATTAATATATACTTGAACAATTAATGTTTAAACACGTACCCTTATTACTATCCATGTGAACAATTGGTCAAATGGTTTGACCCTAGGGACAGTTAAAGATTCATCCGTGCGGTACAAAAACACAACCCTAAAAACACAAAAGTTGGTAAGTTTGAAATATCAAAAAACACAAGTATGAACTTAATTAATGCACTTACTTGTTGATTAATTTCATCATATCTTTGCGATTATTCAGTTGTCTGCTAGCAGAACACAAGTAATAGATGGCCAATTTTTCATATTTTTCTTTAGCTGGATCAAGGGCAATCAGCACCCAATGATCCCTAAAATAATTAACAATTGTAAAGAATATATAACAAGTTGAAATAGTTAATAAAATTGAGAAAACACATTAAATATAACAAATAACTAACCCTTGCACGTAAGGTATTAAGAATAACCTCCCCCCTTTTTTAGTAGTCCTAGCTTTGAATGAATTGCATAGTTGCTTTGCTTGATCTTCACGATCAGAGTCCCGAATGTCATGAAAAGCAGCAATGTCATAAGGACAAATGAAGGCAAATATCCTAGTAAGGTTATAGGGCACGACAAGTGTATGATAGAGAAACCTAAAATTAATAAATCAAATAGATTAGTATATATTTATAAAAATAATGACTACTCTTATGCAAAAGAAGTACCTCAAATAAAAATCCATGACGATCGTGCTAATCATGCCATGGTGGAGTACTTCATCTATAGAGTGTTATGTGATTGGTATGATCTCTGTCATACATACCATGCTCGAATGGGACGTCTACAGCAATAAAATCATGAATACTCCTTTGCATGGTAGCATATGCCCCTAGTAAAGTCAGGAATTTATGTGACAATTGAGGCTCCATCTTTTGAAGCAGGGGAGGTGCGATAATCTTTGACTTATGGCCAGTTGATTGTTTGCTAGGGAAGTCTTTTTCCTTAAACTATATACCAGAGATAGTTAGAGATCTAAAGTTATTATATAGATACCTTATCTTTGTTTAAGATCAGCTTTATAAATTATGTATATATGTACCTTATCTTTGTTAGATATTGGCCTTATAAGGGTGGTGGGCCATGCAATAAAGGTGCCCAATACATCTCCTACAGTCATCACATCCTCCGTTGGAATGGGCAGCTGATAGTTGTCATCCAAAGAAACCTTTAGACAAACTCGTATGTTGCCTAAAGGAATTGGCACATTATGTATAATGCCCCTGGGGACATTATACATTATACCAATTGCAACCACACGACGATCTAGACTGTTTGCTAAAAACTCACATTTGGCTTTACCTTAAAGCAATGGAAACATTTATAATTTATTAATATAAAAATGAATATAACTAAAAAAATATTAATATTACCTCAGGAAGGTTCGGATGAGAAGGCTGAGCTACGGTGCAACTGTCTCTCTTACTATTGGGACATGAGCAACACATCAACCAACTGATGCATCCTATCAACCTTATCTTTTAGTGCATTAAACTCAGCTAAAGAAGGTGTTGCACCTTTTGATGGCTTTTTAGTCCCAAATACTTGCTTCTTAGTGATGCCAAAACCAACACCCTTAACACGTCCGGGGTGGTCAGGATTATCCAATGCCTGACCCAAGATATCTTCATCCTCCAGACGCTCACTCTTTAAGACTTCATCTGAGATAGCAGCTTATGTGACACAAATTGAAAAACTTAAATTACTTGTTTGAATGAAAAAATTAAATTTACTATGTCAAATTAATAATTACACATTTATTAGCTATCTCCTGAACATGCTCATCTGTAATGTTACCCTCTTTATTGGTTCAACCTTCTATGAAAAGAACATGGCGGGATATGCTACTAACTCCTGTGCCTTCTCGCTCAATCTATGCATGTCAATAGCAAAAGAATTAGTAATTAGCAAACATAATAAATAAATGTGGAGTAATTTTAAAATTAATAAATTAGTAATTAATAAATACCATCTTTTCCTCTATGCCTGAATACCCTACACGATCTTTCTTAAAAGGATAAGGATTTTTCTTAACCAACTCCTGATTTTGTTGGCTCAATTGCTGTGAAAAAAATTAAATTCAATTAAACTTATAATATAGCATAATATTATTAGAAAATTAAAATCAATTGGTAAAGTAAAATCACCTGAAATTCCATTTGAAAATGAGATGCAACAAATTCATCCCATTGTTGTTGGGTTACCAAAGGTTTAATTAAAGTGGAGACCTCGAAACTAATGTTTCCACCTGCTCTTTTAATATATTTTGATCCCACAAAATATCGAAAAGAACTCATTCCTCTCCCAGCTATTTAAAGGACATACTTCCTTTGACTAGCATCAATTATAAATGCTAACTGCAAAATATTAGTATGTTATTAGTAAATTGATAAACTATTATAGGCACAATAGTCACATAACGGTAAGTTAACAAATATACCTCTACTTGTTCCCAAATATATTGCCTCATAGATTGATATGCCTTCTTCCAATTTCTGAGTGTGATAGGCACATTTTCTCTTGCCACAGCTCCAATATAGCTGATGAATTCATCTTTATTGTCCTTAATCGATTGCCCTTTAGCATTCTATTAGAGGGGATATTTTTGTCTGGCTATCCTCCATCTATTCACTTCTGTCATCAATACTAAGCCCTTTCTAATCTCAATTGCCTCATCCTGAAGCTGATCATCATTCATTGTTAGACTAAGAGTAGCATTGGGAGTATCACTACTAGCTATAACATTAAGGCCATTGCTAGGGTCGACACTAGGGCCGCCACTTGGATCGACGCTGGGACCACTACTGAGGTCAATGCTGGGGCCACCCCTGAGAACATCAAGGTCATTATGACTTTTGCGTTTACCTTTCTTAAGAGCCATTTACCTATAAAATGCAAGAACACACATAATTAGAAAATCAATGGACATTTGAAATAATTATTTACAAAATTAACCAAACATACATGTAACAGTTATTTAGAATAACAGTTATTTAGAAAATAGAAGACCATATGCGATAATTAAATAAACACAAGTAATAATTATTTATAAAATAAAAACACACATGTTTAAGTTGGTATTTTCCTTTTTCTTGTCTTCTTTTGATCTTTTCCTTGCTTACTCTGGTCTTGAATTCTTTCTCCTCTCTTTGATATCCAAATACCTTCAGTATGATCATTTCTCATATAGAATTCATCACCATCAGTGAAATTACTTTCAAGTGACGTTCCTAAAAATGGATCATCCTCAACAATAGCATCATCCATGTCTTCAATGAATTTGTTTGTTAATAAAATAATGGACCAATTAGTTTTAGTAGGATCAAGAACATAGAACACTTGTCAAGCCTACGAAGCAAGGATGAAAGGCTCATCTTTATACCCTTCTTTGTTCAGATTCACCTGTATCAACCCTGAGTTATCATCAATTAAAAAGCCATTTTTATGGTCAACCCACTTGCAACTGAAGATTAGAATCTAAAACTTTACATAATCTAACTCCCAAATGTGCTCAATTACCCCAAAATATGACATATTTGCGTATATTGGGTTGTTGTCTTTAGAGCTAGTTACATGAATTGCATGAGCAATAAGAGTGACACCACTATTTTACATTATACTTTGACTATCTTGCTCTTTAGTATAGAAGGTGTATCCATTAATAACATAGCTACCATAAGAAGCTACTTGCATGCTCAGATCTCTAGCCAACCATCTCACTTTTTTAGAAACAGAATCAAGATTCATGTTGAACATATCACAAATATGTTCTTTCAGCCAATGTGCAAATTGCTTATCATGTTCTTTTACATACCAAGTTTCACCTCTATTGGGATTATTTTTCTTAAGCTTAGCCAAGTACTTGTCTACAAATTCTTGAACCTCTTCTGAGTTGTGCAACACATAAAGATGTGCTTGATCCCACTGTAAATTTGAGACAGTAACTATATTATTTCCTATTATTCCTTCCCTACTTCCCTTCCCATATGCCGAGACATTGGTAGCCTAACATAATAGACATTTTTTAAATACTCAGTATAAAATTCAACCGCTTCTTCACTGACATACCATTCAATAATGCAACCCTCAGGTCGACTATGGTTTTTGATATATCCTTTTAATATCTTCATATAACTCTCCACAGGATACATCCATCTTAAATAAGTTAGGCCACACATTTGTACCTCCTTCACTAAGTGAATGGTTAAGTGAACCATTATGTCAAAGAAAGCAGGTGGGAAATACATCTCCAGCTCACACAATACATTTACAATTCAGCTTTGTAACTTCAGCAATTTGTTGAGATCAATAATTTTACTGCAAATGGATTTGAAGAAGAAACATAATTTTGTGATTGTGTCTCGTACCTTATTAGGTAGAATAGAACGTATTGCCATCAGAATAAAATTTTCCATCAAAACATGACAGTCATGAGATTTTAAACCCTTCAACTTTAGGTCTTTCATTAACACAAGGTTTCTAATATTTGATGAGTAACCCTCTAGAACTTAAACTATAGCAAGAAACTCACAAAAAGAAATTTTTTCTTTTCTAGACAATTTGTGAGCTGCTGGATGAAGAAAGGTGTGACTCCCCTTCTCCTATGGTGCTAAGTCTTCCCTTATCCCTATAGAAAGCATGTTTAACCTTGCATTGATGCTATCTTTGGTCTTTCCAGGAATATGGAGTAATGTACCAACAATACTTGTCACGCCCCAAAAATCAGGTGTGACCGGCACAGGATATGGGCACAAAATTCATATCCCTTAAGCCTTGATCGGAGAAACTCTGAAATTAATATATTAAACACACTAATAGAGTAATTAGAAATTGTTACAATATTAATTCAGATATTCAACTTTAAAAGAAATATAAGGATCCTACCTGTAGTCTATGTGGAGCACCTGAGGCCAGACGCCAACGTAAGTATAAAGTTCAAATTTTTTATCAAATTAGGATTTGACTGAAATAATTCTTCTACTTCAATTCAGCAATAAAACTCCTAAGTGGATATCTCAGGTCACGAGTTCAACTATACCATCTGAGACCAAAATATCTTTTCCAGTGAATAACGTCCCAACAATAAATAATAGAACATAAATAAAATGAAAAGTTTGAAATAGTTATATAAGTTAAATAGACAAAATTTTCATAAAAATTTTATAAACTTCATAATAAAATGGCTCTATAAATTTCAAATAAAATCTCAAATCATTAAACTATCATAGAAAATGATATTATCACTTGATTTCAAGAAAGCACATAAATGAAATAAATATTTATAAACAAATTACTAAATAAAAACCAATAGAATATGAAATCATCAAACGATTGGATTCATAAATATAGGGACTTATCAGAACAATTAACAAACGTGGACACATAATCCACGAGGGTAACTAACCAAACGCGGCTTATGCCATGAAAACAAACGTGGACACTCAGTCCACGAGGGTAAGTAACCAAACGCGGCCAAAGCCACGAAACAAACGTGGACACACAGTCCATGAGGGTAACGCAAATCAAACGCGGCTTGAAGCCACGAAACAAACGTGAGTATGACGCTCACGAATAACCATCCCTCCATTCCACGTGCGTTGGCCATCGCACGGGGCTAGGACCTCCTATAAACACCCTACTAGCTAGGTGTACCATGGCGCGCCAAGGGCTAACGGAACTGCCGTTAGCAACCAGTGTTCCGTATAAAGTCCATTTTTAAAACCATTTTCAAACATGCGAGAAAATCCTCACTTTCAAGATACAGTTCTCATTCTCAAAATCAAACTCGCATGAACATTTTTAAGTATTAAAAACTTGCCAGAATAAAATTTCATATCCAATACTCATGCTTGCATTTATTGAATAATCAAAATTTCAAAGTCGAACTCGCATGAATCATTCTCTGTATCACGCCAATATTTGATAAAATAAAAATCTCATAATCAAAGTTCAAACTTAATTTAATTGATCAAATAACATTTCAAATTTGATAAAGCTAATTTCTCAAAATAAAGTAAAGTTAATCAACAAATATCCAATAATTGCATTAATGCTATTAAAATGATTTCCAGAAAAACGTAATATTCTAGTAAAAGAAATTTTGATTAAAAAAATCAGTTGGGACGCTATCCACTTACCTGAAATTTCTCCAGAAGTCAAATTTCTCCTCTCAACTTTAATCAAACTTCTTCTCTTCCAAACACCTTATAAATCATATTAAAACTTTATTCAACTCTCAGCCAGTACATTAATTCCATTTCAACCGTCTAATCGGTAATCTACTATAATACATTTGAAACATGAAAACTAAAGCTTTGTTTAAAAGATATTCATCATTAGCAATTTGTCAAGATACTAAATACATCCTTTTCAATCCCCTCATAAAAAGAAATAAAAAAAAACTCTAGCATTTAAATATTTTCTCAACAAACTATCGGTCTCCAAGCACTCTAGTAAGCACATATTATTAATTTCATAGTCAAATGTCCTTTGCAACTTTCAAGTCAAATTTATAGATTAACAACATCTAAGCTAACTCTACTTTCTACAAGAATTAATGAAATTTCAAAATCAGGTTCAATTCTCCTAACAAGCATTTTAATAAACATCTCATAAGCACTAATCTCCAAGTGTCCCATTTAAGCTCTTCTCTTCCACTTTCATTCTAACAATTACTTCAACACCAGCCATTCCAAACACATTACTCTTATTGTAATCATTTACAGAACATCTTGGAAGTGCCCACAAATAATTCTCATAATGACATTGTATCAATCTATACAATAGTATTCCATTTAGCCTTGAAACCAACAACCCAACACCATCAAGAAAATGCATTATAACAGCACCATACACCACAACTCATTCATTTAAAATTTTTTCTCATGTCTAAATAAATAAATTTTAGGTATTTCTTTCAAGCAAATTTCCATCTCCAAGCCTAGAATAATTAAAATTCTCAATTCACATTTCCAATCAGCACCTAACAATAGGAAAATAATTGATTTTATTTTATCAATCTTATCCACATTCCCTAAACTCTCGGCCAAATAGCAGAAAGAAAGAAGCCAAAGTTCAGATCTCGTACCCTTTCAAGGATGAGCATGCCAAAAGCTAGAGGAAGAAGAGATACAATATGAAACTTATCTAAACATGAGTCTCCATCACCACCTTGCACCCACAGCCAACAAAATCATAGTATAAGAAGGAAGTAAGATAGAGCCGACTTTGAAAAAAAATGATGAGGACCAAAACACTATATAGCTCAACACTCCCTACAGCTAACCGAAAAATTAAGGGGTTCGAAGATTTCAACTTAGCAACCGACAACAATAAAAGAAAAGAAGAACAAGAAATCTGCATCATTCACGGCTGGCAGAAGATTTCTTTTCTCTTTCCTCTCTTTTTTTTTCCAGTTTACTTCACTGTTCCCATCCAACACTACACGCACATAGCAATAGAAAGAAAGTGAAGTTTCTCACCTTAGGCAGTCAATCACAAACGCACAGGGAAGCACAGAACAGAACCTACGACTGAACAGGGGAAGAAGAAGACAGCACAATTCCAACCTCCAACCCACTAAATTAGTTCTCTTACAACCTCAAATCAGCTATTTACTTGCTTCATCATCAACTAACAGAAGAGTGGGGGAAGAAATATGGTCAAGAACAAGAAATAAAGCAGACATGGGCTGGAAAACAGTGGACCAGCAACAGAAAACGCACAGCATCTCAGCTCTCTCATCAGCGATGGCAAAGAGTGAAGGAAGAAGAGAAGAAATCGGAGATGGCAGAGGAACGGAGACCAGATCGCACGAGTTCCAGAATATTCTCTCCCTCCCCCTCCGTCAAACCGAGACGGAAATAAGGAAGAGAAGAAAGAAAAAATAAATCTGATATGGGAGGGGTATATTGGTAATTTCGCAAAACTAAAGTCATAAAAATCAACTCCTTTTTTTTTGTTTCAGCAGATTCGAACTCTGGACCAAGTGGATGACTTATACATGCACTTCCACTATGCCAACACCCATTGTTGTCAAAATTGTTCCAAACATAAATAAAATACACTCTAAACAAATTATTATGTGTTTATTTTTATTTTATTTATCTAAGTCATTACAATACTATTACAAACATTTTTTTCGATGTGCATCACATCAAGAAAATGCCTAACATACAAGACCTTCCAATATGGTAACTTGAAAAAATAGACATTTTCTTCCACCCACTTGTCCCAAGGTGCTTTGAAAAAGGTTTCCCAAATTCGATATACAAATCCTTAACCTGTTCAAACAATTGGTCACCAATCAACATTAAAGGTGAGCCACATTCTTCTGAATTCCCATTAAAATATTTCTTCAATTGTTGATAATTATGACTTGGATGCAACCACCTACGATGTCCTATATAAGCATTCTTCATACCATGTTCCAACCTAATTGAATCTGTGTTTTCTTCACAAATAGGGCATCCAAGTTTCCCTTTTATACTGTACCTTAATAAATTACCATACGCTGGAAAGTCATTTATGGTACCAAATAACAAGGCTCTCAAATTAAATTTTTCTTCCCTATACCCATCATACACCTCAACCCCTATCTCCCACAATAACTTGAAGTCTTCAATTAAAGGAGCTATATACACATCTATGTCATTTTCGGGCTATTTTGGTCCTAAAATTAGCATAGATAGCATCATGTATTTACATTTCATGCATAACTATGGAGGCAAATTGTAAATTATCAAAATCACTGGCCAAGTGCTATGGGTACTACTTTAGAGCCTATGCGAATTCATTCCATCTGTACATAATGTAAGGCATAAGTTTCTTGATTCTTGTCCAAATTCAGGGTACTCATGATCAATCCTTCCCCATTAGGGAGAGTCAACAAGATGCCATAGTTTCCCATCTTTAATCCTCTCATCCACATGCCACGTTAAATTTTTTGCATCTTCTTTGCTATTATACAATCGTCTTAATCTAGGCATAATAGGAAAATACCATAATGCCTTCTCTAGACTTTTCCCATTATCTTTGAAGCGTGATGCTTTACATTTTGGACACTTAATTAATGATTCATATTCATTTTTAAATAATATGCAATTATTTGGGCAAGCATGAATTTTCTCATAACTCATGCCAATAGCACGTAACATTTGTTTTGCTTGATACTTGTTAATAGGAAGCTCGTTCACTTTAAGTAGCATCACTTTAAGAAGTGCAAGCAATTCACTAAAGCTCTTATCACTCCAACTGCTACTCGCTTTCAAGTTGTACAAACTTAACACCCCTGACAATAATGTGAACTTGATACAACCATTATACAAAGGCTCTTCTGCATTACTTTTTAATCTCTCAAGCATTTCAGGACAATCCTTCAAATCCTCTTCAATTACCCTGGCCATCTCTTCAAGATAGTCTTCCTCATCAACCTCATATGTACTTGTATCAAAATCATATGACAAGTAGCTCTTACTATAACCCCGGCTTGCATCTCTTGTCTCTCCATGTTTATGCCAACACTTATAACTATGATCAATTCCATAACATATTAAATGATCTTCTAATTTAGATGCACAAACCTACTTCATCAGACAACATTTTACACAAGGGCATACTATACTAGTATGATCATTTGTGTGCTCCAATGCAAACTTAATAAACTCTTTCACCCCATTCAAGTATTCCTTCGTTAATCGATTGGAAGACATCCATTCCTTGTCCATCTTCCAGATCTAGAAAGAATCATTTTGAGGAAAAGTGTGATTAGTGACTCATTGATATTAGGTCTTTATCAATCAAATAATGAATCATGAGTCATATGCTTTCACACATAATTCCTCAATAAACTTTATTGACTACAAGTACTAAAACTAATTTGAAGAACTTAGTTTTAGTAAAAATTTCAGTTTCTATTAATAAGTAATAAAACTTCATAGCTTATAATCTAATTCACTCATACTTAGTTAGGATAACAACCAAATTCACAAAAACATAATTTCAAAGATTTGAAACTTAATAAAGCCACAAATTTTGTTACTATTTAATAAAATTTTAGCAGCATAACGACTTATAATTGAAAGTTTCTCGGGCATTTTACCCTCTCTTTAAATTAAATTCAATCCCTGTACAGTTTAATCAAATTTAATTCAACAACAACAAGTCAATTTCTGTAATGTTAACTAAAAAAATAAATGTGAAATATTTTTACTCTCTTAGTTGATGGTTAAGCCAAAAAAAATGCCAAACATCTAGCTAGTGTCATGTGCACAAGCATGCATTTTTCTACTATATTTTTGGATTCCAATAGCAGTAAATCAAAATATATCTATGCCTAATGGAATACTTCAAGAACAGTATCCTCTCTATTTTTTTTCTTCTCTTCAATGAATCTTGATTTTTATCTTGACATAGGAATTAAAGAACTACCAAATAATGATATCTCATCTTTGGATTCTAATAACAGTAGATATATAAGCTACACTCATAAATATGCCTTGAAAGAGATGATTTAAATAAATGTTAATTTTGATATATATATATATATATATATAGGCTAGATTCATAGATATATAGGCCATATTCCATGTGAAATTTCCTAAAAATAATTATTTTGTTTACATATACTTTATGCCCTCAGATGCCAAGATAATCATAAATCATTTTTCCCTATAATTGACCATTATTTAGAAGTCCCCCAAGTTCTAAAACTTTTTCTCAATACTATATATATAGATAATTAGATATTATATATTTCCAGCTCTCTTCCTCATTTATGCCAACTATAAATTATAAATTGTAACGGATTAGCCTAAGTACTTGGGTTGGGTTATGAGCTGTCAACTAATAGGCCAATGGCTGCGTTTAGGCTTATAAGAAATAGGCTTAATGGAAAAGAATTGGGTATATGAAGGAATAAAGCAATGGTAGAAGGCAGAGAAGAATTTTGTAGTCCCTTCCCTCTTGTATTTCCTCCTTCGTCCTCCCTAAGCAATATTCTTCATTTTTACTATACTATTCAGGCACTTTTCTTTCTTGTTGACTATTTTCGATGATTAATTGCCTGTTATATGTACGTGTGATTGAGAAATTGAGGCAATAACACTTGAGAATCTTCATTCAGTATATTTTTGTATTATTAATTTGTAAAAAGGGTTTCTCTAATTAGGTATAATAATTAGTATTCCAATCTAAGTTTTTTGGCTAAGAGTGCTTGGGTGATTTTTAATTTCTTAGAGGCATTCTGTCGAGCACCTTGCATGCATCCATGGAAATAAAAGCAAACAACATTAATGCGCTTTCACTGAGCATCCAACCATAGCAAAAAATGATCAATGTAAAGCAAGCAATCCAGTACAAGTATCAATCACAGACCACAGCTACCACAGTCACCAATTTGAACCTACAGCATTTGAACAAAAAAAAGAGAATGAATAGCTTAAACATACCTCAAAATTTCTTCAGTCAATGCAGCAAATTATAGAATAGAATAGCTTCAATGGATTCCACCAAGTTGACAAAGCAAGAGTGTAAGAATGCTCTGATTCTTCACAGAGCAACAGCCTGATTACTTGTGAAGGCTCTGATTCTTTACCAAGCTCTGATTACAGACACGATTTTGTGCTCAGAGAAGCTAGGGCACGACGATGAACTATGAGATCTTCGCAAATCAATGCTTCCAGACGAGTTGAAGTAGTAGAGACATTTGGGTGTAGAAGAAATTTTAGAGAGATTCAACATTTCCAGGCATGTCTGGTCTCTACAGAGCAACGAGCGATATGAGTAAGGAGGAGGCAATTTTAAATGGCATAAGTTTGATGATTATCAGGTTTAACCATCAAATATTGTCTCACTATATTTGACAATTAACCATATAATCATCAAACTTATATAAAAAATTTAAAAAAATTCCTCAATTTAAAATATTATATTTTAAGTTTAACGGTTTTATATATAACCGTAAAATATATTGATTCATATATTTGACGGTTTTTATTGAAACTGTCAAATATTATTTTTTCTAGTTATGGCCTTTCTTATTCAACAAATTTTTCAATAACCGTGAAATATATATGCATCAAATATGCGTAATTCTATACTAATGTGTGTGGATTGAAAATGTTATTTGGGTTGTGATAACTATCATTTGTTCATATCATTTTCATATTACTTTCCCTAGCTTTTGACACTTTTCAAGGGTATTTTGTGCACATTAGAAGCTTTTAAGATCATTTGGGCTCATTTTGTAATTTCTAGAACTTTTAGGGCAAAATACAAATTTCTATAAGTTTAGGGGCAAAACTGTAATTTTGAAAAATAATATCTGAAAAATAGAAAAATTCATCATTTTCTAATTTTTAGTTCTTCATTAATCCTATGAGTTTAATTTGAGTTAATGAAAATTAGATTGTGAGTTATTTACTAAAACATCCTTCAAAGTACATACTTTTGTACCTTAAATTGTACTTTCCATGAACTTTAGAAGTATACTAGGTTTACTTTTTGTAATTAAGAACTCCTAGAAAACTTTTCATAACTAAATTCATATCCCAATCATTCATTTAATCACTTTAATTTACTTCATTACATTTTCATAATTTACACCTAAGTTGGATAAATTCATAAGACACAGAATTATTTATGCACAACTTGCTACTTAATGAGTTTATTATGTGTTTTAGGCCATAAGAAGCTCTTGAATGATGATGGAAGCCCCTTGCATGAAATTAAAGCCCTTAGATGAGCTATTTTGATTATCAAAAGGTCATAAATGGTTGATGAAATCTCAAGAAAGCACAAGGATTGTCATGGCAATTCTATCTTCCAAAAATTATTCCCTTT